ATGGTTGCAAGCCTTCTTGCTCCAAAGCATGTGCCGTTCCCATATCTGGGGTCCCACTGCATAACTTGGTGGTGAGAGCTCAGAACCATGTTAGGATAGGATAATGGCCTGGCTTCCTGTAGCTTGGTGCAGACAGCTCCTGACTGTCCTCAGGGAATACCTGGATATGGAGAAGTCACATCCAGGAGCAAGTGACCTCACATGAAGCACTCACCTGCACTCCTGAGAAAGGGATGTACAACTTTTTCTCAGATGTGAGCCTTTGTTCTCCACATGAAAACCAGGAGGATCCAGAAGTTTCTTTTTTTTTTTTTTTTTTTTATTAGGAGTCTCACTCTATTGCCCAGGCTGGAGTGCAGTGGAATGCTCATGGCCACCACAGCCTCGACCTGCTGGGCTCAGGCGATCCTCCCACTTTGGAAGGCTGTTGCTCTTATGCTCACAAAGCAGTGGTCTTCAATTCTGATTGCACAATAGCTAGACCCTACAGGCTCTGTGGGAAAAGGGACAGGCACTCATGCTTGCTTTGATTGATTGACTGATTGAGTCGGAGTCTCACTCCGTCGCCCAGGCTGGAGTGCAGCGGCATGCTCACTGCCACCGCAACCTCGACCTGCTGGGCTTAAGTGATTCTTCTGCCTCAGCTTTCCAAGTAGCCGGAACTACAGGCACGCGCTACCACGCCCGGCTAATTTCTTTTTGATTTATTGTAGAGATGAGGTCTCACCATGTTGCCCAGGCTGGTCTCAAACCCGTGGGCTCAGGCAGCACTCTCATCTCCATCCCTTAAATGATTCCAAATTGCAGCTAGGGTTGAGAACCAGTGTCCTGAACTCACAGTTTGGTAATTTGGAAGACTATCAAAATGTGGACTTGCAGAGCCCCCTCTGGGGGCGAAGGCGGTTGGATGATCCTGGAAGACCATGACAGCTCTCTGAGGGGACTGGCCATAGTCTAAGCCTGCCACTCTTGGGCCACAAGGCAGAGGAAGGTCTTTTGGGTGATGTGGACTTGAGATAGTCTGTTCAGTTGGGCTCAGCGCAGCCACCACGGGCTCACCAAGTATGCTCAGGAGATACAACATTGGCTAGGCTACAGAGACACTGTGTAAGAGGGCACCCTCTGCCCTCTTGTACTTCCAGCCTGAGTAGCTTCAGAATCCAGCCTTAGGAAGGGGGTATCATCCCTTTCTGTTGGCTGGATGGTGAGCCGAGGTAACTCCACTCATGATGGTTCTTTTTGACAGCCGATTTACCCTAACTCAGAAGCTGCTGACTTTGTAAACCTATGCTTTTAACATTAATCCTGATGATTCATTTTCTAATAACAACCCGTTTACCAGGAAGAACCCCAGAAGCTCTCAGTGCTATTCTGGAAAATAGGTCATCCACTGAAACCCTACAAGTTAAAGCTGAGAGGTGTCAAACCGCACATGGCCAGGATGGCTCTGCCTGTTACCCTGTGAGATCCTGCTCCCTTCTACCTCCATTCTCATCTGTTGAGGCACAGAGAGAAAGACTAGACTCAGTGGGTGAGGTCCCAAGCAACTACTACTGACTTCAACTTTGGAGTGCTAAGGAGTCTACTCTCCTGATAACAAAGCTGCAAATTAGAAACGACTAGTGCCACATTGGGACCCCAGGATAAAAGAACCTGAAGAAGTGAAAGCCAGGCGCAGTAGCTCATGCCTATAATCCCAGCACTTTGGGAGGCAGAGACGAGAGGATTGTCTGAGCCCATGGGTTTGAGACCAGCCTGGGCAACATGGCAATACCTCGTCTCTACAATAAAAAAATTAGTCGGGTGTGGTGACATATGCCTGTAGTTCTAGCTACTGGAAAGGCTGAAGTGGAAGGATCGCCTGAGCCCAGCAGGTCGAGGCTGCGGTGGCTGTGAGTGTGCCACTGCACTTCAGCCAGGGTGACAGAGTGAGACTCCAATTCAAAAAAACAAAACAAAAAACAAGAACCTGAAGAAGCCAAAGTGGTGTTTGTGATAGATGGGGTCAAACTAAGAAAGACGAGACAGAAGGATAGGCCTCTTGGATGGGAGCAAAGTGTGGTGGCTCATGCCTAGAGTCCCAGTGCTTTTGGAGGATGAGAAGGGAGGATCACTTCAGGCCAACATAGTGAGACCTCTTTTAAAAAAAAATTTTAAAAGACAATAATGGGCTTAAATGGGGAGACAATGAAAACGTGGTAAGACAAGGACCAAGAGGGGCACAGAAAGGTCCCTGACCTCGCAGGTGGGCATGAATGGAGGTGAGGCTGAGCACCAGAGACTGCCTTGAGAGAGAAGTGTCCACCAAAGTCAGCCAGCGTGAAGCAGGCGGAAAGGGCCCCCAAGCAGACAGCAGTATGTAGGAAACAACTGACTCCAGAGTACGGGAGCTATGGGCTGAGGATACAACTGATGAAATGATAGGAAAACCAGGACCAAAGTCACTGTGACTTTCTTCTGTGGTCCTGACTCATCAGAGTTCATAAAACCATACTGGGGTGTAATTTTGTCGGTGTCTTAGAAGAACTAAGGATAGGTTTGTGGCCAAATCATTTATTACAGACTCAGAAAAAGGATTTTTCCTTACTGGGCTAATTTACCACCTGAGGAGTTGGGGCAGCTACCAGATCAGGTTTACATTGGTACACACAGCTCAAAACGGGCCCTGCTAGGTGCTGTATTTTGGTAAATATAAGGGAACATCAATTAGATGTTGTTTTACATACCATTAAGAAAGAAAGACCAGGCAACAGAGTGAGACTCTGACTCAAAAAAAAAAAAAAGAAAAGAAAAATGAGGTGGGCATGGTGGCTCATACCTGTAAATCCCAACAATTTGGGAGGCAGAGGCAGGAGGACTGCTTGAGCCCAAGAGTTCGAGACCAGCTTGGCAACATAGTGAGACTTCCTCTCTACAAAAAAATTTAAAAATTAGGTGTAGCAGTGCATGCCTGTAGTCCCAGCTACTAGGAGGGCTGAAATGGAAGACCACTTGAGCTCAAGAAGTTGAGGCTGCAATAAGCCAACATCATGCCACTGTACTCCAGCCTGGGTGACAAAGCGAGACCTGGACCCCAAAACAAACAAACAAGAACTGAAACTGATGTAGAAGGCTGGCAGTTTCCTGTGCACAAGCCTCATGGGTGTCCTGCCTGGGGCAGACATGGAGATGGGTGCCTTGCTTGTCTCACGCAGATTGGCTCCTCCACAGCTATGGGGTAGGCGTTGTGTGAGCACCTTCCAGCCCTACACCAGCACTAGTGGGGGAACTAAGACTTCAAGAAGCTGAGTGACTTTGCTCAAGGGTCATGTAGCTAGTAGGAAGCAAGGCCGAGATCCAGAACCAGGCCAGGTGTCCTGTGTGCTGAAGCGAGCTCCAACCCATCTCACAGGAGAGAAGACACTCTCACTCCTTGTCTCAATCACCCTCAGGCCCAACTCCTCCAAGACACTTGCTTGGTCCACTCTTTCACCAAATGGGATCCCTTGTGAGCAGCCCTGTTCTGTCCTTTCTTCTGAGCCGCTTTCATCACTAAGCTGGGCTCCAAGAACATGGCCGCCCAGTACCCCTGTGGCAAGCTCTGGGGCTCCTCAGACATCAGGTCAGATACCCTCAGAGCTGATGCAGGAGGGGTCTCTGGCTGTGGTGAGCATCCAAGAATGGGTGGAGCAGACTGAGGTATAGCATTTTAAACTTCAGGGCTACCAGGGAAGACCTAGGTGTTGTGAAAACTGGGATCCCAAGAACAGGTGACTGAAGGGCTGAAGGGGAGGTCCTTCCACAGGTCACAGATTTGAAACACCAACTTTTCAAAAAGGGCTGCTGCAGCCCATAAGTGACTCTTCCTGGAAAAATAATTCAGCTCCAAGGCAGCCTCTCCTGTTACAATATCCGACAGGAGTGATGGTCGTTTTGACACTACCCTGGCAGTTCCAGAATCCCTTGGGTCACTTTACCATGATTTCTCCATAGTGGTCCCGCTCAAGCTAACCCCTCTTGCTCCAAGTCTATTAAATAAGGTCTTTAGACTGGTGTGTTTTCAACAGTTTAAATACTGCAGGCAAATGTTTTTATCTAATTACACAGTATCTTGGGCTTAGGGGATGTATTGACTACTTCTATAAACTCTTTCCCCAGAAAAAAAGTTTCACAAGTTCAGCGATTCAATCTTTGGGCAATGGACAGATCCCATGTGAAGAATCCTTGATTTGTAAGGAATCACTAGGACTGGCTATCCTGCTTCAGATTTTCAGAATAGCTTGAATCAATATGCAATGGAACTGGTTGATATTCAACAATTTTGAGAGGAGTCTCCAGTGTTTAAACTTGAAACCCAGGAATATTCTTGTTCTGAAATTCCAGAAAATTTCTGAAATTTTGCTGGAGAAGTCCCTGAGCAGCTTCCACGGATCTGGTGAGAAAAAGTCTTAGTATTTTCAACTGAACACGTTATAATAATGATCCCGAGGGAGATGAAAGTTTCTACAGCCTGAGGATTAGAGATTTTCTTCCTGAGTTTCAGAAGGGAAGCCTTTCCTGGGGGTGAGCCTGGAGGCTGTGGGAGCATGGAGAGGAAGAAGTAAGGAAGAGACACAAAGCTGAGTGGCGAGAGCACTGCCCTTCATCCACTCCTGCTCTGCCCATCCAGAGGCTTACCTGCTCTAGGCCTCCCTTTCCCCACCTATGGAATGGGGCAATGATGGAGACAGCTCAGAGTTGCTGTGAAGGCATGTAGTTTCAATTTCCAGTAACAGCCTGAAGAATGGCTCTTTGCTTAAACAGAAGGAACAGGCATGTCTCTGTGCTGTCCACCATTCCAGAGACTGCATGTAACATGCCCCCTTCTCAGTCAGACTCTGCTATCCTCTTTGAAGAAACAGGAGAATTAGGGCACAGAGAGGCAGAACCTGTTTGTTACCGTCATTTGTACATTCATTCATTTCATTCATTCAACAGACATTTATTAAGCGCCTACAATGTGCCAGGCCCTGGGGACAAAGAGCTGGATAATGGACAGTCCCTGCCCTCAAGGAGCGCACAGTCTGGGGGGCAGACATGTAAACACATGAGTTACAATGCGCCATGTGAAGTATGTGGCAGAGGTAAAACAAAGTGCTGTGGGGCACAACAGAGTGACCGATGAACTCTTCCTGGGCAGGAGTCAGGGAAGCCTTCACAAATCAATCAATAAATATGGTGCCACGGTAGTGCCTTGCACACTGTGGGCACTTACTGCAGGGGCCAGGATCATGTCACCAAAACATCTCGAATGCTGGTCCACCAAGAGGCCCTAGGTTTGGGTGGGGACAAGGCCTACCTCTGTTTCCTCAATTTCCCCACCTCCGTCCTGGGTATCTCCTGCCTGCCTGGGCCTGCACTGGTTGAGGAAACAGCTACCCACGCCAGGGGCCAGTGACAGAGAGCAGCTGTACAGAGGGCTCACCTCACAACATCCCTGTCAGGGGTTAAGACAGACAACAAGTGACTGCTTGTGTCTCGCCCACCACGGGGGTCTTTTATATTCCCGATAACATCTCTAAACTGGTCTGTGAGGTTACTTCCTTTCTTAACACTGCGTAGGAGACTCCAAACCCTCTGTCTTTTGCTTGTCTTCCTTCTCATGTGGGTAGGACACCAGTCATTCTTATGTGCCAGGGTGCAGTCACACATGGACACCCCATCAGGACAGGCCACCCACAGCAGCCTCCTGCACCTGAACTTGGTTTGTCTCCACACTCAGAGCCGTCTCACCAGCTCAATGAGCTGCTGGATATTTTTGTTTTGATTGGACAAGCCATTCCTGATGTTTTCTAGCAGGCATCTCTTCAATTCAAATATGGCTTCACTGTAGGCTAAGCTCACTGCAGCCATGGGAGGTGCCCCATGCCACAGGCCGGGGATGTGCCAGATGTGCTGCTTCTCAGGGTCGCAGAAGGCCAGCCCTGCCAGTGCCCGGAAGCCCTCACCCTGTTTCTCCATCTGGGCTGCAGCTCTGCTTAGGTCGCCAGGTGGATCCAGGAGCTGTCTCCTGTCTCTCGGCCTGGGGTTGGGGGCAGACATTTCATGAAGGTTCTGGTATACAAACTGATAGTTGGGCATGTGCCCTGTTTTTTCCAACCTCAGAAATGCATGCAGAATAGCTGGCGGAATGTCCCTTGTTTCAGCTAAACTGACCACAGTGACGTTGCTCAGCCCCATAAGCAGAGTGGCCAGCGAAGCCTCCAGCTCAAACCTGTCCCCAGCCGAGGTCAAAGCCCCACCTATCAGCCCCCCAGAGTCTATCACTAGGATGTGGTCACAGCCCAGGTCCTGGCTGAAGCCCTCAGCCACTGTGATGAGCTGCATAAAGGCCCCTCGAGAACTACAGCTCTTCCCTGTGGCAAACCGCAGCCCAAACATAGTGTTGAGGAGTGTGGACTTTCCCGTGCCTGGCACCCCAAGGGCTGACAGAACCACTAGTCGTGACCGTCTCTCCAGTCGGACATGCAGCTCTTTCAGGAGCCCTGTGACCCAGCGGACAGGAGTGCTCAGGGTGCTCCCGTCAATCAGTTCCAGGGGCTGCCCTGCCAGCAGCAGCTCCGAGGCCAAGCCTGGGAAGTGGGCAAAACGCCTCTGGCCTGCCGGCAGCCTCCCTGCCTCCACCAGGCAGCTCTCAGCCTCATAAAACTGTCCCATCTCCCGCAGGAAGTGCTCCACCCCCAGGGGCTCGGGCCAGAGAGGCTCACCCAAGTCTGCGGCCCCCCCATGCTTTGGTCTCAGAGTGAGCAGAGTCTCTGAAGGTTGTCTCAGTCGCGGCTGGGCTACCCGAGCCAGCCCCCACTCCATCCACCTCAAGAAGTACTGCTTCTCGCCCGGGGAGGGGCTGCTGATCCCCGAGATGAACTCTTGAACCCCTGATGTGGGGTCATGGCCATTCTGCTGCATCCTAAGTTCTAGCAGCCGACGCCTCAGGTCAGCCCTGTGCTTTTCAGGGGGATCCGTGGCCCACTGTAGTTGGCAGAACTCCTTTTCCACTTGGGCTGCCTTTCTCCAGGGGTCCCCCTGCAGCCTCAGCTCATCCCTTCTGTAGGCATCTGAGTCTTTGATCTTCCTAGTAATTCTCTCCATCCGGTCTTTTGCCTTCTGACACTCCTCACAGTCCTCATCAACTTTTAGGCCCAGCTTACGGGCTGCATGTGCCATGTCCTCTACAGACACCCTCCTGCAGGGGGCCCGCACCACGTTCCCGATGATTGCACGAATCCTCTTCACAAAGCTCTCGCTGTCAGTGCTGCTGACTTTCACAAGGACGTGGGAATGGTCTATTTTCAGCACAGGAATTAATTTATTCAAGAATCTCAGGTTGGTGTTACGTTTCCCACGGTAAGGACTCAGAATGAAGTAGTATTTTGTGGTCGACTCCTTCATGGAATACAGCAGTTTGTATTCTTTCTTACTGATGTTGTCGGTCAATATAAACACAGCAGAGGAGATTTCTGTCAAGAGTTTAAACTGCAGCCAATGAGACCCAATGTCACCTCTCAGGTTCAGAAAGGCCACAGGCTCCGGGAAAATGTCCAAGTCTTCCCTGCCACCAGGAAAAAACCAGGAAATTTCTATCAACCCATCTGCAATCTCCCGGGGATTGGTGCCCAAGTTGAGGTCCCGGTGCCAGAAGCAGTCCCATTGCCTGTGGCCCGGGCTGAGGATGGCATTGAGAAGCTGGGACTTGGAATTGCTACTGACATCCATGCGCACAAAGGCAAAGGTGGGTACTCTGGACAGGACCACACTGTCTTCACGGAAGCTCCCTAGCCCCCTCGGGGGCTGGGACCACCATGTCCGCATAATGCCCCGCATGGCCCACAGCAGAAATGTGTGGTAGTGGTTTTCTGAGTCAGGCAACACAAGAGGGAGTGCAAACTGGCAGAGGGACATTTTCAACACTATTTCTTGTTGCAGGAAACTGTCTGAGGAGAGCAGAAGAGCACAGAGAAGGTCTAAGGGGTTCACTGGTGTGTCGGGAGTGGGCAGCTCAGAAAAAGAATAAATGTCAGCGGTGATGTCATCAGCGGGGTCCCAGTAGATGATTTCCTCTTCCATCTGGCTCTCCTTCTCCACAGGCCTGGCATCTGGAAGCACATCCAGCACCATGGTGGTGTTCCTGGCTTCCGCATTGAGGGCCTGCAGCTTCCTAAGGAAATTCCAGGGCAAGTCTTTGGGAACCTGAGGAGCCCAGTTCTTCATGCTGTCAAAACTTATCTGCAGAGAGTCCTGGAGGCTGAGTTTCTGGACCTGGTATGTCTCTAGGCCCAAAAGTGACAGCATTTCTTGAAGCCTGCTTCTCTCCACTGTGGAAAGAAAGGAAGACATAAGTGCTTACCCTGTGCTCCCAAGCCAGGGGCAGAGCAGAGCAGGTGAGGAAGAGCCCAGCAGGAGGTAGGAGTGATGACTCCCTTCACAGGCAGGATGCAGGCATGGGAGGTTCAGGGTATGCCAGAGGCTGGTAATAATACCACTCCAACCACAGATATATGTGACTTCACAAAAAGGAAAAACAAATGGAAATAGAGAAGTCACGTCTAATAACTGGGAAAGTCCATGCAAAATCTGATTTCTCTAGAAGCCTGTAAGATCTAACACTGAGCTCAAAATGAATTGGCTGCAGTGAACAGCACTTAACCCCTAGATGCTGAATGCAGGCCCCAATTCCCAGATCACAACTCACTCCCAGGAATGTATTTCTGAGCTTCTGGCCCCACACTGTAGCCTAGCCCTGGGCTTCTTGTCCTCACTCCATACCTTATCCCTGCTGGGGGTCCACTTGATGTCACCGGGAAGTTCCCACAGGGGCATAATCACCAAATCAGCTCTCTGGCTTTCTAGTTAATGTTTTTATCTCTTTGCAAATAAGTTAGAGAGACTATGTTAAAGGAAACAGTAAGATATCACTAAGCACAGGGTGCCATTAATCATATCTAAACAAACATTTTGCAAATCTGAGATCAATAATAGTACAGTTTAAAATTTTGTGTGTGTGTGTGAGCTGGAGTCTCATTCCATCACCCAGGCTGAAGTGCAGTGGCACACTCTCAGCCACCTGAGCATCAACATGCCAGGTTCAGGCGATCCTTCCACCTCAGCCTCCCAAGCAGATGGAACCCACTACTTTTTTGATTTATTGCAGAGATGAGGTCTCGTCAAGTTACCTAGGCTGTTCTCAAATCCTTGGGCTCAGGCAATTCACTCGCCTCAGTCTCCCAAAGTGCTGGGATTACAGGCTTGAGCCATCGTGCCCAGCCCAGTTTTAAATTTTAAACAAATTAAAATATTCAATGCAGATTGTTATTACGTGAGCATTTATTTGTTTAGACACTCAAATATCACCCTATAGAATACAAAACCTTATAAACTAGTTGCTCAGAACAGTACTGCTACCTCCAAAGGTTTAATGGCCCATTCCAGGCCTTGGTTCAGCAAGTATATTCATACTGTATATAACTAGTGCACTTTAAATGTTAACATACAAAACAAATTCAATTTCCACTGATTTGCAGGCTTTTCTCTAGTTCCTTTCTCAAGAGAGGAAGCAATGTGTGTCATGCCACTGCAGATCAAGTAAACCATGAGAGGAAACACTGGTTGATCCAGTCCTTCTCCTGTTTCCCACCCAAGTAGATCAGTGTTGGATTCAGGACCACTCCTCAGGTGACCAGCAGGACTTACAGCACTGAATGAACACAGGGGACCTGGAAACTTGTTGCAGATACAAAGGAACTGCCTGTGAAGAGTCACACTGGGGTAGAAATCCTTTATAGGAGCCGGGCGCAGTGGTTCATGCCTATAATCCCAGCACTTTGGGAGGCCAAGATGAGAGGAATGCCTGAGCCCATGAGTTTGAGACCAGCCTCGGCAATTTGGCGAGACCACATCTATACAATAAGTCAAAAAATTAGGTGGACATGGTGACGCATGCCTATAGTTCCAGCTACTTGGCAGACTGAGGTAGAAGGATCACCTAAGCCCAGCAGGTTGAAGCTGCGGTGGCCATGAGCATGCCACTGCACTCCAGCCTGGGCGACAGAATGCGACTCCAACTCAAAAATAAAAAGAAAAGAAATCCTTTATAGGTGTTATTCAGGTCTCCTAGTTTTGCCTGAATGAAACTAGGGACACTGCTTTTCTTATCCAGAAGGGGAACAACTTTTCTTATTTTTTAAGTAGTATGGTAGTAAAAGGCAATGGGAAAAAGACACAGCAAACAAAGCTATTTCTATATGCACTCCTGCCCAATGTGTGGCCCTTAGCAGGCTGTCTGGCAGCTCTGGGTCTAGGATCTGCAAGGGAAGTCACTGGACGAAACAAATGGCTTCCAAACCTGGCTGTGCACTTCAGGAACTTGTTCTTTGCGCTTCACCTTTAAAGATGCTAGTTCACTATAGGGAATGAGAATGTTTGGTGGTGGGGGGCCTGATTTCTCTATGTGATTAGCAAACTCCTCAGGATTTTTTTTTAAGCATTATTATTGATGATGTATAAAGGGTTAATGAACTAGGTATCCTAAATCTGAGTGTCCTACCTCCCAGGTGATTTGATGCAGTCAGGTGTGGAATCACCAGCCAAGACGGTATGTCCCTTCCATAGAACAGGAAGCCAGAACAGAGAGAAAGGTAGGAAGAAATGCTTACCTGTTGGAAAGTCATTGTCCTGAGCCTCATTTGTACCATCTATGGAAAAAGCAAAGGGAAATGAAGTGTCAATCCAATAGTGTGCCTTTGACTGACACAAAGTAACCTAAGCTAAATCCAGAATCTCCCTCTTACCAAGATAGCAACTCTCCCAGTTGTTCACATTATAAAATCCCAGTTGTTACTTTACCCATTCCCTCTCTTTCCCTCTTTCAATCTATTGCCAAATCCTGTGGTTTCTACCTCCATAACGGAAATCACAATCATCTCCTTCCATTTCTCTCCATTCCAAATCTAGAAGAAAAAACAAACAAACACATATTTAGTTTCATCAGCAAGTTAGAACCTCTCTGTCAAACATTTCAAGTGCCAGACAAATGTGTTCTAACATGGTTATCATCCTAATATCATGGGGAAAAAATTACAAATTTAAATTATTTCTTTTCTACTCTCATTTACTATTCATTTGTTTTCTGTTCAAATCCATGATTCCTAGATTTTTGTATAACATAATGGACAGCAAAATTGGTTTACCTCCTCCAAAAAAAATTCAAATTGATATGTTAGATGATGTTTATTTTTAGTGCTATTACTGGTTTCAGTTTTTCTATGTCCATTTTATTTTTTTTCTGACACAAAATATGTCACAAATATGTGTAGTAATAGCTATACAAAAGACAGAGATTTATTCTAGGATATACTACTTGGAGAATTTTCTAAATTCTGGGAAAATATGAATAACCACAAAACTTAAATAGATTAACCTTTTTTTTTTTTTTTTAAGTCAGTCTCACTCTGTCGCCCAGGCTGGAGCGTAGGCATGATCATGCTACTGCAGCCTCCCAAGTAGCTGGATCTATAGCCACACCCAGCTAATTTTTTTATTTATTGTAAAGGCGAGGTATCACCAAGTTGCCTAGGCTAGTCTTGAACCCCTGGGCTCTGTCTCGCCTCCACCTCCCAAAGTGCTGGAATTACAGGCATGAGTTACCATGTCCGGCAGAGAAACCATTTAAAAAGTAAGATGATATAAATTCCTTGACTCAATTTCCAAATTCACCATCTCCCAACAACATTATCTTTATTCTAGCATAAGGAGTTTTGGTAATCACTTAAAATGCTATTTATATCACAGAACAAATACACAGGGAGGGTAGAGGAAACAGGAATCAGAGTGGAGATGAGTTGTGACTTATAAGTAAACTGCTACCTGTCCAAAGCCTGTAACATCATGATATATCCATCAAAATTAATATTTTAATTTCAGAATGTTTTCAATTTAGTGCTACTCAGATATTTATGTTGGGAAGAAAGACCTTAAAACTCTCATTTCAAACTGTCTTTTTTGATAATGCTTCTGGGAGACAGACGTGAATAGTAAGAAGGAGAAAAAAGTGAAAAAGAAAACGGGGTTCAGGAAACAAAATTAGATCAGAGAAGACACAAGATCCACACAGATCAAACCACAATGCCAAGCAGTGAAAATATTACTTTATTTAAAGTGAAGAAAAGACACCAAGTTGACACAGTGGCTCACACCTGTAATTCCAGCACTTTGGGAGGCCGAGGTGAGAGGACTACTTGAGGTTAGCCTAGGCCACAGTGAGACCTCACCCCTACCAAAAAGAAATTTAAAAATTAGGAGTGGTGGTGTGGTGGTGTGTGCCTACAGTCCCAACTACTCAAGAGGCTGAGGCAGAAGGATCACCTGAGTCCAGGAGGTCTAAACTGTAGTGAGCCATGATGATGCCACTGCATTCCAGTATGGGAAACAGAGTGAGATGATTCAAAAGAAAAAAAGAAAGGACACAAGAAGAATTTTCCCAAGGAATCCAAAATGCCATATAAGGAGAAAAAATGGTCAGAGAAGAGCATGGGAGAGTCTAGAGATATCAGAGATGGGGTTGGGGAGGTTATGAGAGTAGGTATGAGCTGCAATCAGGCATAACCTCAAGACCCAAAGAAAATAGAACTTGCTTAGTTAAGGAAAGAGCTCTGATGTGAACCCAGGGAGAGATTACAGTTGGGTAAGGTCAAGGATGCACAAGGTAGCCAGAGTCAGGGCTACCAAGTTAAGGAAACCACTCACTAGGGGTAAGAAAGAGTGTGATGCTCAGCAGCCATCAGCAGACTGTGGAACAGGCCAAAGGGGAGGCAGCAGGGTCCAAGGAAAGACACAAGTCAGCAACACACATAGGAGATCAGTGAGGGCTTGGCTCCATGAGCCAAGGTCTCCACTATGCTTCCTGTCAGGCAGGAACTGATCTAAGGATGAGCCAAGCGCCAACTCAGTGGGAGTACTGGGCTCAAATGATCACAAAAGGCAGAGGGCGGGCCAGCCCTACCACTGAAGGTGATTTTAGTAAGAACTGTTATGAGCCTATTGTTGGAGAATTCAAAGTAGGGCAATTAAAAAACCATTTTCACCCATCAAGCTTAATGGTCTTTTGCCCCCAATTATTTAGTAGCTGGTACTCACTAAATAGTTTTTTCACAAAATTTTGGAATACTTGTTATTGGATAATAAATGCACATTTATGTGCATTTCATACCTTGGGGTTGTCAGTGCTAAGAATGAAGTATGGGCCAGGCCATAATACTTCATCTGTAATCCCAGCCCTTTAGAAGGCCAATCTGTAATCCCAGCCCTTTAGAAGGCCAAGGAAGAAAGATTGCTTGAGGCCAGGAGTTCAAAACTCACCTGGACAACATAGCAAGTCCTTGCCTCTACAAAAAACAAAAAACTGGGGCTGGGTGTGGTGGCTTACACATATAATCCCAGCACTTTGGGAGGCCAGGGTGAGAGGATTGCCTGAGCCCACAGGTTCGAGAACAGCCTGGGCAACCTGGCGAGACCTCATTTCTACAATAAATCAAGAACCATTAGCCAGGTGTGATGGCGCATGCCTGTAGTTCCCGCTACTTGAAAAGTTGAGATGAAAGGATCGCCTGAGCCCCAGCAGGTCGAGGCTGCAGCGGCCGTGAGTGTGCCACTAGACTCCAGTCTGCACAACAGAGTGACACTCCAACTCAAAAAAAACTTAGCCAGCAATGGCATGAACCTGTAGTCCCAGCTACTCAAGAAGCTGAGGTAGAAGGATCTCTTGAGCCCAAGAGTTTGAGGTTGCAATGAGCCATGATCACATCACTGCACTCCAGCCTGGGTGACAGTGAGATCCTGTCTCCAAAAAAAGGGAGGGAGCCAAAAAACTTGAGTAGACATCTTTCTAAAGAAGAAATACAAAAGGCAACAACTACATGAAAAGATAATCAGCATTAACCTTTACTAGGGAGATGCAAATCAAAGCCACAATGAGATACCATCTCACACCTATTAGGATGGCTATTAAGAACAAAATAAGGGTTGGGGAAGACAAGGAAAAACTGGCCTCAAACATTTCTGGTGGGAATGTAATAGTTCAGCTCTGGGAAAAACATTCTAGCAGTTCTTCAAAAAGTTAAACATGGAATTACCATATAACCTAGCAATTACACTCCTAAAAGAATTGAAAGCAGAGACTCAAGTACTTATATAAGAATGTTCATAGCAGCACTACTCACAATAGCCAAAAGGTTGAAACAACCCAGATGTTCGTCAACAGATTAGTAGATAAACAAATTGTGGTGTGTGTATATATATATATCTCCAATGGAATATTATCCAGCCATAAAAAGGAACAATATGGATGAACTCCAAAACATTAGGCTGAGTAAAAGTCACATATTATGTGATTTCATTTGTATGAAATATCCAGAGTAAATAAACAGAGCTATAACACAGACTGGATTGCTAGGGGCTGGGAGGAAGGAGAGATGCAGGAAACTGCTTAATGGGTACAAGGTTTTACTTCAAGTAATGGAAATATTTTTGTTTTTTAGAGATAAGGTTTTGCTATGTTGCCCAGGCTGAACTTGAACTGCTGGGATCAAGGAATCAAGGGCTCCTCCTACCTCAGCCTCTCAAGTGGCTGGGATACCATGCCTAGTTAGAAATATTTTAGGACTACATAGATAAGAGGTGGTAGTTGTACAACATTGTGGATATCCTAAATACCACAGAAGCGTTGAATTGTTCACTTAAAACAATTTTTTAAAATGAGCTGTCAAGTAGAGCTTGCAGAACTGAAATGAGATAAATGAATTCTATAGAGTGATTACATAAAGCATAAACTAGACAAAATTAAGTCTATGCTTTTGAAGTCAGGATAGTGGTTGCCCCTGGCAAAAGAGTAGTGGGAAATAACTAGAAGGATTCTGGGGAGATGATTTTGTTTGACTTCCTGATCTGCATCCTGGTTTGCATGGCTAAATTCAGGTTTGTGAACTTCAAATTTATCAAGCTACACACTCGTAATTTGAACACTTTTCTAAATGTATGTTATACTTCAATACAACTTTCTAAAAATCCTATAGGTTAAAAAGCTTGCTCTAAATCTTAAAAATGAAGCACATGCTTGAGGAGTTCAAATACTTCATGAAAATAATTAAAATAATTTAAAATAATTTCTGGATGTTTACTGACTACAGAGACTGACAGCGATGAAAGTTTGGGGAAAGACCAGAGTATCTCTGAGCCTCATTTTCCTCAAATGAAACAAAGGAATGAAAATAACTATCTTAGAATTATTGCAAAAACTAAGACAACCCAGCCCACAATAAGCATCCAGTAAGGTAACTCCCTTTCTTTATCACATGCCCGTGTTTCTCTCTCTTTCTTTCTCTCTCTCTCTCCCCCTCCCCCTCCCCATCTCTATTTTTGAGTCAGTCTCACTCTGTCACCCAGGCTGGATGGAGTACAGTTGCATGCTCATGACCATTGTAGCCTAGGCCTGCTGGGCTCAGATGTTCCTTCCACCTCAGCCTTCCAAGTTGTTGAAACTACAGGCACGCACCACCATGCCCAGATAATTTTTTGGATTTTTTTGTAGAGACAAGGTCTCACTGTGTTACCCAGGTTGGTCTTGAACTCTGACCTCAAGAGATCCTTCCACCTTGGCCTCCCAAAAATGCTGGGACTACAGGAATGAGCCACCACACCCAGCCACTTTCTCATTTTTCTACAGCAACACCCAAATCCTCAGAGAAAGAAAAACAGCCTAAGTGGAACAAGACCAGGAAAACCACAAGTTCCAGTCTGCCCAGGGAACAATCCTAATTTATACTTGTCTCAACATAACACCTCTTTAACTCTCAGAAGTGCCCATTTTAGAAGATACAGTCATCCTAAATACCACTTAGGGTGACAGCTATGGGTGACATACTAAAATTAGGATAACGGGCCAGGCATGGTGGTTCACACCTATAATCCCACCACTTTGGGAGGCCAATGCAGAAGGATAACCGAGCCCAGGAGTTTGAGACCAGACTAGACAACATAGCAAGACCTTGTCGCTACAAAAAAAATTTAAAAATTACTTTGGGAGGTCGAGGAGAGAGGAATGCCTGAGTCCAGGGGTTCGAAACCAGTCTGGGCAACTTGATGAGACCTCATCTCTACAATAAATAAAAAAAATTAGCTGGGTGTGGTAGTTCCAGCTACTTGCAAGGCTGAGGCAGAAAGATCGCCTGAGCCCAGCAGGTCGAGGTTGTGGTGACCGTGAGCATGCCACTGCACTCCAGCCTGGGTGAAAGAGTGAGACCATTAAAAAAATAGCCAGGTGTGGTGGTGCAAGCCTATAGTTCCAGCTACTCGGGAGGCTGAGGTGGGAGGATCACTTAAGCCACAGTTCAAGGCTGCAGTGAACTATGATAGTGCCACTGCACTCCAGCCTGGATGACAGAGTGAGACTTGATTCAAAAAATAAAAATAAATAAATCAGTGTTGGGGGAGGACTTCAATCAAATAAATAAATAAATAAATATGTTAATTAAATAAAATTAGGGTAATTTGCTCCTGGTAAATTGTGTGATAATCACCTACTAAAACTGAATCCTATTCTGGACGTACAATGAATGTTCAAAAGATCCTTATATGGAATCTTTTTGTAAAAGGAAAACTAAAAGCTTTAAGCATATTTGTGTTTGAGTTTCTCAGTCTCAGCCCAGGAAGGGGCTGGATCCCAGAACCCAATAGGACAGGAGAAGCACATCTACTTCAGAATGAGTCCAAGTCCAACTTACCTGCAATGGCCACAGCTGTTCGTCTCTCTGACGCTTTTATTTCTGGGGCCACTTCTCCCAAATCTGAATGCCTGAAACAATTTCAGGAGAAAATTATAATTAAAATAATGAAATACCGCTTTTACCTATCAAACTGGCTGCATATGAAAATCTCTTGGGGAGCTTTTAAAAACTACAAATCCTGGGTCATACCCTAGATTCATGAAACCAGAATCTCTGGGAGCCAGTCCTGGGCATCACTGCTTTTAAAAGTGCCCTCAATGATTCTAATGTGCAGCCACAGTTGAGAAACACTGGTCTAGAAAAACCAGCACTCTCAAAAACTGCAGATCAGAGCATAAATACAGCCATTCAGAAAGACATAAAAATATACATACCCTTTGACCAGTAATTCCACTTCTATCCTAAGGAAATAATTAAGATTTAGTTACAAAGATGCAGATGCCAGCTTTATATATAATAGCGAAAAAACTGGATGCCTTTTAAAAATCAAAGTCAAAGTGCAATACCAGGGAATCGTGGTCTTATCTTGAAGTTATTACAAAATACTCTATGGGTTTTATTTTTGTGGACAAAAAGATGGTGGATAAAATTTTACGGAAAAGTGTTAATATGTTAGTGGGTGGGAAGTCAGGTTATAGAACAGTATGATTACAATTTAATAAAATCGTGCATATCTGTCTATAGGTATATGCAGAGAAATCAACAAAGATGTTCATCAAAAGTTAAAAACATGGGCAGGAGGAGGTGATCCTGAATTTTTTTAAGTAGGCATAATATCTGTGGTCCAATTAAGAACACACTATTTTAGATGTATCACAGGAATGAGCAAATATGTTGACTGTATTAGGAGCCAGGGTTCTCACTGCTGAAGAAAAGACAAATACGGAATGGAAGAAGTCACAACAGAACTTGCTGAGGTACACCGAAACTGGAGACAGACACTGGTGTAACTGTGATATATACACACGCTCATGTGTGTGTACATATGTACAGCTATATGTATAAGTGTGCATATTTCTGTGTGTATATGAGCGTACATGAGCATCTATTTCTAGCTCTGTTCATTGAAAGGGCCTAAAAGAAAAGACACTGTGATGACAATGAGCATGCTAAAAGAAACAAGGACTCCTTGGAGGTCCTTGTTTGAATGATGCTGGGGCTGGAGCAGGGGAAGAACAAGAGGAGCCTGAGCAACTTACTTGAGAAAGTAAAGAAGTGCTCAAAAAAGTAATGGTCATGCCAGAGGGCATGGGAGCCAGCTCGAGGGATGCCCACTGGCCAAATCTGGGATAATGTGAGCACAAACATAATTAAATACAGTAACTGGCCAGACGTGGTGGCTCATGCCTATAATCCCAGCACTTTGGAAGGCAGATGTAAGAGGATTGCCTGAGTCTAGCCTGGGCAACTTGGCGAGATTTCATCTCTACAATAAACCAAAAAACTAGCCGAGTGTAGAGGTGCATGCTCGTGGTTCTAGCTACTCGGAAGGCTGAGGTGGAAGGATCGCCTGAGCCCAGCAGGTTGAGGATGCGGTGGCCGTGAGTGTGCCACTGCACTGCAGTCTGGGTGACAGAGTGAGACTCTAACTCAAAAAAATAAATAAATACAGTAATTAATTTAAAACTACTGAAAAACAGGAATTAGCAAGGCTGCACAGATAAACAGATGGGGGGGAAGAGAAGGCTCTAGCTTACAACAGAATACTAAATGTGGAGGGGATGCTACAGTCAGAAGCATCATTTTGTAACCATCATAATCAAGATTGGTTCAAGCAAGGATTAACATCAATGAATGCTAACTCTGAGGAAAATGTTGGTGAGGAGCAAGGCATTTGTTTAGTCTTAAACAGTCTCCTCATAGGTGGATTATTAGGTACCAGAGAGGAAAAAAATAGTAATTATACAATGGACAGGTTGGATAACACTCTGACTGGGTTAATCAAAATGAACCTCAGTAACGGGGGCAGATGACCATCATATGCCCCTAGCTGTGGTACCATGAGAAAGGGCAAAACATCACTTAGGCAGCATTCTGGCTAAGAAGGCAAAATTGTCTAATTGTGAGGACAAACCCAAAACGAGGGATGTCATGCTAGAAGGGAAGAACTGTGTTATTTCAAAGCGCAAATGTTATACAAGACAAAGAAAGATAGATGAAATGCTCTAGATTAAAGGGTGCTAAAGAGACATGAAAACCAAATGCAATACCTGAGTGTAGAGACTGGATCCTGAACTAGAAGGGGAAATTTGTGGGTCAACTGAAAAACTGAAATATGAGTGCTATTAATGTTAAATTTATTGACGTTATTAACCGTTCTGTGGTTATATAAGAGAATAGCTCTATTCTTAGGAAACAGACACTGAAGGATTTGGGGATAAAGCATTATGATGTATATAACTCAGTATCTGCTGTGGACTAAATGTTTGCGTCACCCCAAAATCCATGTGTTGAAATTCCAACCCCCCAACACGGTATTTGGAGGTGGGGCTCTGAAAGGTGATTAGGTTATGAGGGAGGAGCCTTCAAGAATAGGATCAAAGCCCTTATAAAAGAGGCCCAAGAGAGCTCATTTGCTCCTCGTGCCATGTGAGGACACAGCAAGGTGGTATGTGGAACAGTTTCCCAACAGAAGGCACCTTAATCTTGGACTTCCAGTCTCTAGAACTGTGAGAAATAAATTTATATTGTTATAAACCATCCAGTCTATGGTAGTCTGAACAAAGACAATCTCTAATGGTTAAGAAAAATTTATGATGCCAGGTGCGGTGGCTCACGCCTATAATCCCAGCACTTTGGGAAGCTGAGGTGAGAGGACTGCCTGAGTCCACGGGTCCGAGATCAGTCTGGGCAACTTGGTGAGACCTCATCTCTACAAAAAAACAAGAAAAATTAGCTGTGTGTGGTGGCGCATGCCTGTAGTTCCACACCTGAGCCCAACAGGTTGAGGCTGCATTGGCCGTGAGCATGCCACTGCCCTCCATCCAGCCTGGGTGCGAGAGAGAGAGAGACAGAGAGAGAGAGAGAGAGAGAGAGAGAGAGAGAGAGAGAGAAATGTATGAGTCAGGCATGGTGGCTCATGCCTGTAATCCCGGCACTTTGGGAAGTGGAGGCAGGAGGATTGCCTGAGCCCATGGGTTCGAGACCAGCCTGGGCAACATGGCGAGACCTTGTCTCTACAATAAATCAAAAAATTAGCCAGGTGTGGTGATATGTGCCTGTGGTTACAGCTACTTGGAAGACTGAGGCGGAAGGATCCCCTGAGCCCAACAGGTCGAGGCTGTGGTGACCGTGAATGTGCCACTGCACTAGCCTGGACTACAGAGAGACTCTTAAGCAAAAACAAAAAAAAATTGTTTAAAAAAAAAAAAGAAAAGAAAAATTTATGCCAGCCTGGACAACACAGTGAGACCTCGTCTCTACAACAAATTAAAAAATTAGCCAGGTATGGCGGCACACACCTATAGTCCCAGCTACTCAGCAAGCTGATGCAGGAGGATCACTTGAGCCCAGGAGTTGAAGGCTGAGGTAAGCTGTGATTGTGTCACTGCATTCCAGCCTGGGAGACACAGTGAGAACGTATCTCAAAAAAGAAAAAAAAAAGGAAAGGAAAAAATGACGTTATGTGTGCATTCATATACTTATGTGTGTATATACACACATTTATATATACATGGAGAGAAAGCAAGAACAAGAAAGAGAATAATAAATGAAAATGGCAAATGAGGTAAGATGTTAAGAGCAAGAGGTTCTGAAGAGGAAGGGGGCCCTTTTGTTTTTGTAAATTATTTCTAAGTAGAAATTATTTACAAATGAGAAATTTAAAAAGTTAATAGCAGTTAGCTACATTTGCATAGCATGACATTAGTTTCTTTTTATCTTCTTTGAATTACTTTAATAGAAGAACCATGTGCTCACTTAATAAAACTAACAGACCTATTAAAATGATGCCATGAGTCAGGGTCAGAACCAGATGAGATAAATAGTTGCCCCAAGAAGATTTAGTATTTTTCCAAGAGATGTATTTTAAACTTGAGTTTGAACAAGCATGCGAAGGACAGAGCTTCTCACACTCTCTGAGGACAATTCCAGTAACTACAATGTTCACTACATTCATGGCTGTCTTGGTCACTTTATAGAACAGAGCACTGTGCAACTTTCTGACTTCATCTGACCCTGATATTGTTAGAAAGTGGGGGTTTTCACTTTCACTGCCTTCTCTTCACTTTTCTGCAAAGAACACCTATTGCTTTTGTAACTTAAAAAAAAAATGACTGCTAAAAATAGTTCCCCAGAAGGGAAGCAACAGGCCTGGTCTAGCATCCCGAGGACACTGTTGCCAGGGAAGTCCAGGCAAAGTGAGAACAGAGAACAGACAGATCTTTGCATCCCACAAGGCTGGTTGCTGACTGGGCCTTTCCCCAATGCACATGGGTGTGCTCTCAGGCTGGAGAGCTGCACCAGGACATACTTTCCAGGGAGTGCCTTGGATAGGAGCTTACTTCAACCTTTTCTATCCTGCAAGAAAACAGCAAGCCAGCCAGGCACGGTGGCTCACACCTGCAATCCCAGCACTTTGGGAAGCAGAGGCGATGACTGCCTAAGCTCAGGTGTTCAAGACCAGCCTGGGCCAGTTGGTGAGACTTCATCTCTGCAATAAATTAAAAAATTAGCTGGACATGGTGGCACACACCTATAGTTCCATCTACTTGGAAAGCTGAGGTGAAGTTCGCCTGAACACAGCAGGCTGAAGGTGTGGCAGCCATGAATGTGCCAATGCACTCCAGCCTGGGTGACAGTTAGACTCCAACTCAAAAAAAAAAAAAAAAGAAAGCAGCAAGCAATACTGACATTGTCACAGGGATGACTTTGAGTTTATGCTAATTTATAAAAATATGCACTTGTTTACAGGTTCTGAACATATTCTTGTCAACAAACTACTTGAAGTGTTTCACGCCTAAGTGAGATACACAAACCATGGGTTGGGGGTCCAGTGCTGCTCTCAAAACCCCAGGGTTACAAATTGAGTCAGAGCCAAGTCATGATGGGGAGGGTAGCAGCAGCAGCTACACACGTATCTTTTCATACTTGTAACAGGCTGAACTACACTTTCATAAAATTCTTAACCCCAATGTGACTGCATTGGCACGTGGGGGTCTCTAGGTCATTAATACTAAATGAGGTCATAAAAGTGGGTCCCTAATCTGATTAGGGAAGGTGTCAGAGGAGGGTTTACTCTTTCCCTGCCAGGAGCACAGAAAAGATCATATGAAGGCCCAGCAGCCATCCGCAAGCAGGGAAGTGGGCCCTCACAAGACACTGAAATTGCTAGTGTCTTGGTCTGGGACCTCCAACCTCTAGAACTGTGAGAAAATAAATTTCTGTTGTTCAAGTTTCCAGT